CCGACACGACACTTCTGTTCTACCCCGACACGACACTTCTGTTCTACCCCGACACGACACTTCTGCTCTACTCGACACGATAAGGTGAATACTTAGTTACTTTCTGATCTCGTGCACAATTTTAAGACGCCGTATCGAGCTGCTCTATCCCGCCACTACCATTAGCTCTGTCAAGTTTACCCTGCAGTCGCTGCCTCCAGCACCAGAATGAACGTCTTTATGGGAAGACGAAAGTATCCAATATATTGTTCTACCAATGTACCCTGTCCATGTATCCAATGATGCTGCCGGCCCACATATTTGCAGGCTTCTCCTTGCTAGACTCAACTCAAGTCGGTTAGTAGCAAACATCGAAGTCTAGCTCTGTTCAAAGGGTTCATAGTTAGCGAACATTCCACTTTTTGTGTCAATAAATAATGTATATAATCACCACCATGTTGGCAGTAACTCAATTGTACCGCTACCTAAGACTTACTAATATCTTCACAGGAATTCTCCAGTAGTCCGCGGAATCACAGGAATGGTCTGCTAATGTGGGGTAGGTATTGGGGGAGGGGGGAACAGCGACAGGGGTAGCAACGTCAACATGTGTTGCGTATGTTGGCGTCAGCATACCAACAAGGAACCGTTGGTGTCAGGTTACCAACATGAGAACCGCTGGTGTGATTAAAGTTAAAATGTGTTGCGTGTGTTGGTGTCACCATAACAACAAGGAACCGTTGGTGTCAGCCTACCGACATGAGAACCGCTGGTGTGATTAACGTTAAAATGTGTTGCGTGTGTTGGTTTCAGCCTACCAACATGAGAACCGCTGATGTGATTAAAGTTAAAATGTGTTGCGTGTGTTGGTGTCAGCCTACCAACATGGGAACCGCTGGTGTGATTAACGTTAAAATGTGTTGCGTGTGTTGGTTTCAGCCTACCAACATGAGAACCGCTGATGTGATTAAAGTTAAAATGTGTTGCGTGTGTTGGTGTCAGCTAACCATGACGTGAGTACCTCAGTCAGTTGTTGAGCATGTAAAGCACCACGCGTTCTCCCGACCCCAGGGGAAACACGAAACTGGAGACAATCGCTACAAGCCAAGTAACCCCCCTCCCTCCCCTGCTCTCCTTCACTTAATTATTCACGCGAAGGATATTTTAAAACTAAATCCTGTTTTTCCTCTTTGGGTCTAACAACAAAGACAAAAATGGTTGAGGAAGATAATTGGCAACACATCGGAATGTTCTTCACCTGGCTGGGGGGGGGGGGGGGGGGAGGTGCACGTGTAAAGATGAAAATCATAATCTGCTAGTGTATGGGTCTCCACTTCAAGAAGTAGACCACAGCACTGTAGACTTGTCTGGTTAGTGGGGACCGTCGTCTCATGTAACAAAGGGGGAATGTGTGAGACAACTTCACCAGTTTTACAGTGGTTAGCCGGAAAGTTTAGGAAAATACAATATAGATCTAGTAAAATAATATTTGCAATCTGGAAAAAAAATATGGAAAGGGGGGTGGGAGAAAAAAGTTGATTAAAAAAAATGAGTAAACAATATAACGAAGTAAAGTGTTTACTTCGGTAATACGTTGTAAATTGTTTATTGTTGTTAAAAAGTACCCTCCCCCCTCCCCGTCCACATAGTTTTTTGGCTGGTGTTTGTCTACGTTTGTCATTAGGCGGAACATAAATATCGTCAAGTCTCGCGAGACACGTTGGCAACTATTCTAATGAGGCTTGGGTAGAGTTCTTCAACAAGCCAACAAGCTAATGATGGACTCGTCTTTCCCACAGACGAAAAAAAAATAATCTTTAAAAAATCCTTATTAAAAAATCGCGCGAGGCTCGGACAATCAACCCGCTGAAAATATGTTTAAAAAGAAATGTTTAAAGTGTATCCAGTTGATGCATCTTGGCTGAACGTGAGCAGGCATAAGACGCACGGCGGGAGCCGAGTACACACAGCTTTAGGGGAGGGAGGGGGAATAATTCAACCATAAATACATCGGTTCAACGACGCGGCCAGAATGTAGAGCTACTAAAACTCGTTCACTTTATCTTGAAATGAAATATTACTAACACCCGTCCGGTTTTTTTTTTTTTTTTTTAAATATCACGTTATGATGGATAAATCAGAAAATGTAAACGAATTGGGAAAGAAAATGTAAGAGAAAACTGCAAAATGGAACATTCTTCACTAAAGTCTGTAACTTGGAAAGATGTTTGTGTTCAATGAGCGCCATTTAAAGAGCTACATCTCAGTTACATCACATATTATTCTTTCTCCTCCTAAAAAAACAAAGAATCTGCAAGGTGCTTATCCCAGTAGGCTCAGTGCCAAACAATGAGGTTCACGTTGGTCTACTGGCTTGTTAGCTCTCAGAGACGGTAATCCCCGACAGGCGTGCAGCTTCTAGTTATTATTTACAAACACTTGACTTCACAATAAAATATAAACACTTGACAGTAAAGATGTATAAACACATCACAGTAAAGATGTATAAACACTAGACAGTTAAGATGTATAAACACTAGACAGTAAAGATGTATGAACACATGACAGTAAAGATGAATGAACACATGACAGTAAAGATGTATAAACACTAGACAGTAAAGATGTATGAACACATGACAGTAAAGATGAATGAACACATGACAGTAAAGATGTATAAACAGTATAAACACTAGACAGCAAAAATGTGTAAACACTTTACTCACTTTAGTAATCTATCTATCTATCTATCTATCTATCTATCTATCTATCTATCTATCTATCTATCTATCTATCTATCTATCTATCTATCTATCTATCTATCTATCTATCTACCTACCTACCTACCTACCTACCTACCTACCTACCTACCTACCTACCTACCTATCTATCTATCTATCTATCTATCTATCTATCTATCTATCTATCTATCTATCTATCTATCTATCTATCTATCTATCTATCTATCTATCTATCTATCTATCTATCTATCCATCTAAGGCATAGAACTAACGGATCCAAACCACATGACTGACTGAGGCAGGGGATGTGAATTTGTAAAAGGTTTAGAATGACATCTAGTTAGATTCAAATATATTTATTAAACACTGGCTATTTTATATGACATTCTGAAATAGCCTGAGGTTTTGTAGATCTTGTTGTAGTGTTAAATATCACTAGTTTGTCTATTGATATGAACACCGTTATGATGTACGATGTACCATATGATATAGCTCTCACTAAAGACTATAGCTTGCTTTTCAAAACACATACTCAAAATGTATAGAAAATCATTAAATACTTTCTGCCCTGATTTGTACCTGAGCACAAAATCTTATCATACACTCAAGTCACAAAATAAGAAGAAAATACGCCAGACTCTAAACTCTATGAAGATATTAACATTGCAAAAGTTAATACCTGGATAGGTATTATAAATGTCAAATCCAAGAATCATTTAGCATTAATCTGTGTTTCTTACTTTAACCAGAAGTATCATATTTATATAGTTGATACATATCTTTATTAGGCCTGAAACTTGTCTAGCCTATACTAATAAAGCTAAGAAAATTTATCTTTGAACATAAACCAAAAGCTTATTTTTATTTTGTTTAGGATTATAATAATATCTTACAATAATAAAAGCATTAATTGTGACTGGGGAGTGAGGTATTAATTAACTATTACAAGAGCAGTGCTATTCTTATTTTGTTATATTTTTATTTAAAAAAAATTATGGTTTAAGTTTAGTTTATCTTCTAGGCTCATATCAGACATCTGCTACAGGTCATAGAATAAGATGATCAATTATGCACTAATTAAATCTATACTAGACTAATAGATCTAGTAATTTTTAAATAAATAATATTAATTATGCATCAGTTTAGTTGTTTGTTCACACTGCTGCTATTTAACTATCAATTACCATTTAAAATTTACATAGAATAAATATCAGGTGAAATAGCATGTCCTTTTTTTATCAGCTATCATTCAGTTTCCATTACATTTTTCCCAAGTTGTTTTTTCCCTTAGCAAAATTCTAAGGGACAGTTTTTTTTCCATATATGCCAGCAATTACGTCACAAACGAAAAAAAAATTAAAAGGAACCCTTCCATTAACTGGGGGAAAATATTTTGATTACAAGGGCATTAGCCTAAGTGACAAAGTGTTAAGGCCTCAGATGGGTTCGAACCCGCACCTTCCAGCACGACAGCCACCCACGTGTCCCCTCGACCACACATCTTCATGCTAATTTGGGAGTTTTTGACATTAAATTATGATTAAATCTATCAAACATAGTCACGACTGTGAACAGCCCTAATCGCCTAAATACGGCTATTCACAGTCAACTGGGAATAGACACTTCGATTTAGAATTTAGGCTAGATTGAGATTTTCTAGATGTATGTAGGGGAGAATGTTTACACCGGTGTCTGATAATGGAATCTTCTTTAAAAAAGGGGTGTTAGGTTACTGGTAGTTAATGTCAATGCTAACCCTGTCCCTAACCCTAACCCTGGTCCAACCATACACCTAACCCTAATTTGAACCATAAAACTAGTCGAGATTATAATACTACTAACAACCCAACACCCCTTTTTTAAAGAAGATTCCATTATGGCAAATGGGACACTGGTTTCTATAATCATTCTACTAATTTACTTAAAAGTTAAAATAAGAAATTTAGAATCTAGATCTAGAATCTAGATCTAGGTGTAGAATTTTTAAATTTTAAGAACAAGCTAGAGAAGAGACTATTTTCAAATTTTGTTTAGGCCAACTACTTTAAGTATTTAACTGTTATAGTTAGGCCTCTAATCCATAATAAATCTAGATAGATTCTAGATCTAGATTCTATATCTAAATTTAGATCTACTAACTTACTAACTTTTGCAGATTTGTTGGTTTGTTTTTAATTTGACTCCATTTCTCAAGTGAGTCAAGTCCCCTCAGCAGACTAAACAACAGCCAGTCACCAAGCTAAGCTAAAGCTAGTCATTCTAATCCTGAAATTTATAACCTACCTTTTCGTAGTAATCCATTTGTTAGTACAGTCAGTAGCAAAAGAATAAACACAAATATCCCCTTGCATTCCATAGGTGAGTTACTCTTAGGAAACAAAATCAATCTCCTTCGTGTTCACCATAATGCACACACAGTCAACATTCAACTACAAAGACAAGCCTCCTGCTGTAGCACTTAGAAATCTAGAATCGATTTACGATTTTCCGAGCACTTCCGTGTCACATTTTTTTCTTCACAACAATGCAAGCCTGAAGCCAAACTGTTAGTTTCGTAAATTTATGTACGATAGGACAGTAGCCTAAAACTTTTTTTTCATGAAAATTAGTTTAAGAAACTTGATCTAATTCTAATTGGATCTATAAATAACAATAAGTTTAGATATCTTATCTACTAAAAATTTAATAATGATTGCGGTGATTATTTATAATATAAGTTAACAAACAACTCGAATTTATTTAAAGAAATTATCGACCTAAGTAGACAGATTTAAAAAGATGTTAATTACTAATTAGCAGAGTTTCTTTCAGACTTTTTTCTCCGGGAGGGGGGGGGCTCTTGATATTTTCGGGAGGGGCGTACTAAATTTTACGGGGTGGGGGGCGAACACTGGTAAAAGTATATATGTATTCAATCAATATAAATTCCATTTCGTTGGGGGGGGGGGGGGGGGTGTATGAGCGGTAGGCTTTCTTCGAAGAGATTCCTCTCCTGGAAGACTCCTAGATCTATTTCCGACTAAAATTAACCTCCGAATTTCACTGTAGTCTAGAGCTAAGTCTAGATGATGGATATGGTGATCACATATTCTACAACATGACAGCCAAATGACTCATTTCCCTGTCTCTTTAGGCTAAAAGAAGAAACTATACAATGCTGCACAATATCGTATTTAAGGTTAATTCGGGGCCCTAAGCCCTGATCGTTAGTTATATATTGTGACCTCCCCGGCCACCCGTATGATGCTAATGTTACGTAGCAAGGAGTGTTAAGGCGCCGTAAACCCCATCTTCTGAGGTGGGGGGCGGGGGGAGGGGGGTTGTGTCACTTTCACTAAAATGTTTTAGAGGTGTCAGTTTTAAAATTGTTTTTTAAATAAAACCACAATTTCTCGTTTTGTCCAATAGGTTTTAGCAGTGGCGTAGCGAGGTCGGGTATCACCCGGTGCGGCACTTAATGGTGTCACCCCCTTGCCCAGAGGCGTAGCGACCCTTCCCGGAGACAAACTTTCAAATTTTCGATTTGCACCCCCCTCGAACTTTCGATTTGCACCCCCTTCAAGTTTTTCTCTATATATTTTGCTATTTTTTGCCTTGGTGTCACCCCCCTAAATGGTGTCACTCGGTGCGGTCCGCACCCCCGCCCCCCCCTCGCTACGCTCCTGCGTTTTAGCTAGTATCAGCGCACACAAACACTCATATATGTCTATATACCAGAGGTGTAGCGACGGGGGAGGAGGGGGGAGGGTGAGGGTGAGGGGGTTGTGTCACTTTCACTAAAATGTTTTAGAGGTGCCAGTTTTTAAAAAAATTGTAATAAAACCACAATTTCTCGTTTTGTCCAATAGGTTTTAGCTAGTATCCGCGCGCACAAACACTCATATATGTCTATATACCAGAGGTGTAGCGACGGGGGTACATGGGCGCCGACCCTAGGGGCGCCAAAATGGGTTGAAAAAAATTAAAAGTTAATTTTAGCTGCAGTTTTGAATTATATATATATATATATATATATATATATATATATATATATATATATATATATATATATATATATATATATATATAATATCGGGGGGGGGGGGGGCAAGTATGTCTCCAGCGCCGGGAGGGTTCGCTTCGCCACTGCGATGTACCCCCCCCCCCCCCTGAAGGCAAACTATGTATATATATATATATATATATATATATATATATATATATATATATATATATATATATATATATATATGTGTATGTATGTATGTGTGTGTGTGTGTGTGTGTGTGTGTTTGGCACAGACGTACAGGTCCAAACGCCAGAGTGACGAAACATCCTAAAAGCTTCATCATTGCGTTACCAATCGTGTATTTTTAGGAATGTGACCGGTTTTCTAAAACTGAGTTATTTAAATGTAAACAAAGCCGGCGCTATATTTCTTTGATCTCAGTTGTTTTAGTTGTTTGAGCGCTGGTTTTGTCACTCTGGTGAGTTGGACTAAATTGCGGCAACACGCTATGGGCAAATAATGGCTGTATAACTATATAAAACGAAAATCTATAACAATGTTCTGCCCACACAACTGTTCTATGTGATGAATTGGTGATATATCGGAAGACGTTTTGTCCGGAGTCGTTATTCACCACTGTGGTAGGGTCGTTTTAACAGGCCGTTTTTGACGCAACACGCATGTAGACAGATGGCTTCCATCAATAAATATTGTGGCGCTTAGCTTTAATCCGTTCACGGATGGCTTGGTGACCCACCAGGATTGTTCAATAGTAACCAAATGCCGCTCGACCTTGAACTGTCAATTTTAAAAAAATCTACAAGAGCTTTTAGAGGGCAAGTTCAAACACCAGTTACAAGATAAAGTCAGCCTCTCTGTGCTTAGTAGTTTAGTTAAATAATGAACCACACGCCTAAATAATTGTATTACAATTTGTATCGGTTTAGTTTGGCATGTATTGGTTGAATCCCCATAAAACCAACCAGTTGTTATCAGCAGATGTTCTCTCAGGGAACATAATCATCATCTTTTCCTGTTCCTGCCCAAGACACATGGGTCTGATGAAGTAGCTCATCTGTTTCAATCAGAGTTTCTTCCAGGCATCTCCCCGAACGAAATGAAATTTGTATTGGAAATATATACTTTTAAACTTTTAACAGTGTCCCCCCCCCCCCCGAAAATTTCAAGTGCCCCCCCCCCCGGGAGAAAAAAAGTCTGGAAGAAACACTGGTTTCAATGACCTCGGCATACATGGGGATAGCTGGTCAGCACTGTTTCCCTCGCGTGAGTCAGGTGTCCATCAGTGTCCTAGTGACTCAAGCACGAATACGAGACTTTCAGGTTAGTAGTCTAGTGCTCTACTGCCAAGTCACGCATTCCTCTAGGGAACATAATACCAGTGTTTCTTCCAGACTTTTTTCTCCGGGGGGGGGGGGGGGGGAGGGGGGCACTTGAAATTTTCGGGGGGGGGGGGGGCGGTAGACCTTCTTCGGGGGGGGGGGGGGGGCGGACACTGTTAAAAGTATATATTTTCTATATAAATTTCATTTCGTTCCGAGGGGGGGGGTGCGGTAGAATTTTGGGGGGGAGATTTACCCCGCCCCCCCCCCAAAGATATGCCTGGAAGAAACTCTGCGTAATACTTCACCCAAATATCCCTTGCATGAACAGAGACACCACTAGCACGTCGCACTGATACACATTCATTGTTGACAACATGGATACCATTCAGAAGGTTGCTCAATCTCATCACAGAAAATGCCGCCATCAAAGGAGTATTTCCATGAACATGACTGAAAAGATGTTCAACTGAAATGTTCTAATAAAAAGTGCTAATGTCTCCTCTTGCTTTCTCTCCTTCCCTAATGCAGTCCACTGTTGTGTATTTAATTTCTTTTTTTTTTTCGAAGGGAAGAAAAGCTTCTGTGTGAGACCACCATGGTCATTGAAATGAGTTTGAGTGTATTTTACCTATGAGTTCGCACTTCAGGCAGTGGCAGAGTACCACACTGCTATCTTTCAGTGTATACTGGGCTGACCTCATCACCAGAGATCCTAGAAAATAAATCAGCTGTATCTTCAGATAGTGATTACTGCTTTCTTTACTTTCTTCATCTGAGAGATCATATTCAACATGTGTTGGTCCACCATCATTAACTGGAACACTAAAACTAACTACGATATTTTTCTTCATTTGCACGTTAGTAACAAATCTAACAGTCACAGTTATCACCACAATGAAAAAGTGAACCATGTACTTGGGATTTTAGAACCAGCATCCTTCCCCTTATAACGTTATGAACCTATAACATTTACTTTGTGCACCAATCATATTGTACAACATTTTCAGAAACTTCTAACACCAAAGTCCTAACCATGACTTTATAGGGCTTCAACATTTAACTACGACATTAAATAACACCAAAAAATAAACCATAACCCAAAGAAATACCTCCCATATCGACTTTAAGAACATAATATAGTACCTCCTGTCACAATTTTTTACAAACAAAAAACCTGAAAGTAATATGGGCCAACCAGACTCCAGAGAACACTAAACAGGGCGTTATTGCTTAGATATTACATTGTTAAAAACTGTAGAAATAGATTAGTTATTTCCCCTAACAGACAAATGCCTACATCATTTGTATTTCTGTATAATTTTTAAAATTGTCTAACCATGAGAAATTATACCATTGATACACTGCTTCACTATTCTGCTTAAACTAAGTTAAACACACGTGATTAATGGATAAAACAAGATAAAAAAAAAGTGGCTAAAGTTTTTATATTTTCCTTCTGTTTATTAATAACAATGTAGCTAAAAAACAACCTCAAGTAAAAATAATTTTATAATAAGTATAATTTTGTGTACACATTACAAGTATTTATTATATGAAAAAGCATTACCAATGAATTTTTAATAAGAAAAAGTTTGTAAGAAAAATATCTTTTTAGGAAATACAAAAATAAAACAAACTTTCAACTTTTTGAAGTGATATTTTATTGAGGTGTAAAAACAATTTTCTGTATCCCATGCTATAATTTTGCTGGTTGAGTTATTACACCATTAGAAACAAAATCATTGATCTCTGTTTGGGTGAAACCAAATTCCCTAAAAATTTCAATGGTATGTTGGCCAATCTGAGGAAGAGGTCTGTTTTGCCGAATCTCTGTTGACCTGCTAAATCTGGGCGCAGGGTTTGCCATGAGTACAGAATCAGATGCTGCCTGAAAAGTTTCTTTTTCCTTATTATGAGGATGTTCTGAAGCTTCTTCTACAGTAAGTATGGGTGCAACACAGGCGTCTAAATCTTTAAAGACCTCAGTCCATTCTTCTCTTGTTTTGGTTAAGAAAATATTTGCAAACAACTCTTTTTGTTTTTCTTGGTCATCTACCTGAGTAATTCCAGCGTTTTCTAAACCTAAACCTTATAAACACATGGAAATTATTATCATTATTCAATGACATAAAATCAAATGATTGAATTTGGAATTTAGTTGACATTAATATTTCTTTTTCTTCTTCTTCTTCGTTCTTAATTATTAGTGTTGAAGGGGATCGAGATTTATCTGCCAGTGGGTTTGAACTCGAGACTTTGTTCTAATTTATCAACCATGAGTTTTTTGCCGACTCGACCACGCCTCCAACACAATTAAGCGTTACGTGTCAATTGGTTATGCGCCATTGAGGCCATTGACTCCGATTTCAGCCTGCTTTTCTTTTTGGATTTGCTTCCATAGCCTTTGCCCAACCAAGAACAAACTACAAGGCAGCAGGTGTTTAATTTTGGAGTTGTCTCTCCTAGAAGAGTGGCTGTCCCCAGCTAACGAGCCTCATCTGCCCGAGGGTTCGAACTCGAGACTTTTCGGTTTAGCAACCATGAGCTTTACCGACTTGACCACGCCGACCCCCCTGACATTAATCTGAGGTTAATGTTTTTAAAAATATAAACCTAGACTTACCTTTCAAAAGATCTTGATAAAATTTATGCTCCAACGCGCCCACAGACATGTATTTTCCATCCTTTGTTTTATAGGTGCTATAGAAAGCTGCTCCTCCATCTAAAAGGTTACAGCCTCTCTCATTACTGAACATGTGTTTATTTCCATCTATCCAGCTACCTAGTTATGAAGATAAAGTAAAAGAATGGAGTTTTTCAAATATATAAATAAGCTTTTGTTTTAGAAAACAATGAAAATTGAAGCTCCCATATCAGATCTATCAAACCACATGGCAGATGAATTAGAGTTCATATGTTTCATGACAGTGGCATATGAAGGACATGTTGTAGTCATCATTACACTCAGTCATCCTTAGTTTCCCTAATGTGAGACAGGTACCCATCAGAGCTGGGTGGACTCAGGTATGTCCTGCAGTCCTAACTCTGGACTGAGACCCAAATTCAATACCTTTGGCCTAGCAGTCCAGCGCCATCCCATAATGTTTGGGTGGTAGACCACATGAATTTTGATATAAAGTTTGAGTTCTATCAGATAGAGTTTAGAGGACATCCCTGAGTCCAACCAGCTTTGATGGTGACAATACAATCCCTTCACAAATCATATACAAAGATTAGAGATTCTTCATTTGCTCTATATGGGCCTACAGGTCAGAGAAAGTACTTTATTTACTTTTACTTAGTTAAGAGTTACACAGTTCAATAACTGTATTACCCAGGTATGCTGATTAAGAGTTACACAATTCAATAACTGTATTACCCAGGTATGCTGATTAAGAGTTACACAATTCAATAACTGTATTACCCAGGTATGCTGATCCTTCAACCATGTTGGCATCTACAACCTGTCCTTTACCAGATAGATGTCTCTCATATAATGCAGCTACAATTCCTAGAGCACAGACAAGGCCCCCACCCCCAAAGTCTGCCGCCAAATTAATAGGAGGAAAAGGTGGTTCATTTTTCCTGCCTAATTTGGACAGTAAACCTGCAATATTGAACACATTTTAATATTAATAACCAAAACAAGTGTGATTGTATTAAATTATAGTTACATCAAATTAATTATTATGTTATTTTTTTTTAAATTTTAGTTTTGAGAAAAAAAATGTATATTAAGAAAAAACAGCACTGATGTTCATGTCATGTTCATGTTTGCCTGTCGTCCCTACTGGGACATAGGCGGCTGACAAGAGCTTTCCAGCCATCTCTGTCCAGGGCTAGTCTCTCCAACTGTCCCCAGGTGTATCCAATCTTCTTGGTGTCCTCCTCCAGATCACGTCTCCAGGTCTTTCTTGGTCTGCCTCTCCTCCTCCTGCCTTGTGGATTCCAGGTGAGGGCCTGTCTTGTTATGCTGGATACAGGCTTCCTGAGTGTGTGGCCAATCCATTTCCATTTTCTCTGGAGGATCTCTACTTCAACTGGCAGTTGATTTGTCCGTTGCCATAGAACATCATTTCTGATGGTTTTAGGCCAGCGAATTCGCAGGATCTTTCTGAGGCATGCGTTTATAAATGATTATATTTTCTTCTTATTTATAGCAGTTATTCTCCATGTCTCGGCTCCATAGAGTAAAACAGGTTTTACTAGTGTGTTGAAGATCCTGATTTTTATTCCAAGGGTTAAATCTCCCGAACCCCAAACATTTTTTAGTTGGTTGAAGACTGCTCTTGCCTTACCCGTCCTTATTTTTATGTCTGCTTCTGTCCCACCCTGCTTATCAACAATACTTCCAAGGTAGGTGAATCTAGGGCTTCTTCTGCCAGTGTTATAGGGTTGTTGTTTGATGCATTGACTTTGAGAACTTTACTTTTCCCTCTGTGGATGTTCAGGCCCAGGCATGTAGAAAAATTTGCAACCCTGTTGGTTTTATCCTGCATTTGCTGTTGTGTGTGAGAAAGGAGGGCCAGGTCGTCAGCAAAGTCCAGGTCATCCAGCTGGTTCCACAGTGTCCACTGTATACCGTTTCGTGTTTTCTCTGTTGACATCTTCATAACCCAGTCTATGGCCAGCAGGAACAGGAATGGTGAAAGTAGGCAACCCTGCCTTACTCCGGTCCGTACTGGGAAGGCCTCTGTAGTCTGTTGGCCATGCACTACTCTACACTTGAGACCTTCATATGAAGACATAATAATGTTGACTATTTTCTGTGGCACCCCGTAGTGTCTCAACAATTTCCACATTGACTGCCTATCCAGGCTATCAAAGGCCTTCTCATAGTCTATGAAATTAATATAGAGAGATGAGTTCCACTCTTGGGTCTGTTCAATGATGATGCGCAGGGTAGCAATTTGGTCTATGCATGACCTTTCCTTCCTAAAGCCCGCCTGTTGATCTCGAAGCTGGGGATCTATCGCTTCCTTCATTCTGTTTAATAATATTCTGTTGAAGACTTTGCCTGGGATGGACAAAAGTGTTATCCCTCTATAGTTAGAGCATGCACTAAGATCGCCTTTCTTTGGAAGCTTTATGAGTAGTCCCTCCTTCCACTCCTCTGGTATTTGTTCATCTTCCCAGATTTTCTTGAAGAGTGTGTATAGTAGTGTGGTGCTAGTTTCTATATCTGCTGTCAGTGCTTCTGCTGGTATACCATCTATTCCTGGAGCCTTCCAATTTTTCAGCTGCTTTATAGCTTTATGTATCTCTTCTTTTGAAGGTGGGTTGCAGTCTATAGGGAGGTCACTTTCAGCTGGTGGTATGTCTTGCGTGCACTCTGGTGTTGGTCTATTCAGTAGTTCTTCAAAATGTTCTACCCATCTCTTCATCTGTCCTTCCGCATCAGGTATTGTCTTTCCATCTTCTTAATTGTATTGTACACGTCCCTAATATTACCATGGTACAGTGCTTCTTCCGCTTCTCTTGCCAGCAGTTCCAAATAATTCCGTTTGTCTTTCCTTATGTGTTTCTTGACATTTTTGTTCGTTTCGGTGTATTCTTCCAGTGCTTTTAATTTCGTAGCCCGTGTGCGGCTGTTGTTGAATGTTGCCTTCTTTTTTTTTCTCTCTTCAATAATTTTCATGGTATCTGCTGATATCCATTCCTTCGCTTGTCTTTTGATAGGGCCTAGCACTTCTTCGCATGTTGATGTTAATATGCTTTTAGTTTTTTCCCATGTTTCCTCTATCGTCTCTTCTTCTATTAGTTCTTGTAGTACCTGAAACCTATTGGACATATGAAGTTTAAATTCGTTGAGTTTAGATGGGTCCTTTAGCAGGCCTGTGTTGTATCTGTATTTCCTTTTGTTTTCCAACATGTTTTTCTTCAGCTTGAGTTTTACTTTAGCTACCAGTAGGTGATGGTCTGAAGCAACATCAGCTCCTCTCTTGACGCGTACATCCTGAAGTGATCTCCTGAACTTTTTTATGATACATATATGGTCTATCTGGTTTTCTGTAGATAGGTCGGGTGATACCCAAGTAGCTTTATGTATCCTTTTGTGATGAAAGAGACTACCGCCAATGACTAAATTATTTGTGGCACACAAGTCAGCAAATCTTTCTCCGTTTTCGTTCATCTCACCTAAACCCTGCTGTCCCATACATTCTTCATATCCTCTGTTGTCACTTCCAATCTTAGCATTGAAGTCGCCCATGAGTATAAGGATGTTTCTTCTTGGGCGGTTCTGGATAATGGTCATTAGCCTGTTGTAGAATTCGTCTTTGTCCTCCTCTTTGCTGTCATTTGTTGGGGCGTAGGCCTGTATTATGTCCATGTTTATTCGTCTTATTTTAGTTTTAAAGGTAGCTGTTATGATCCGCGGGCAGTGTGCCTCCCATCCAATGAGAGCCCTTTTGTGCTTGGTTTGATAGCATGAGTGCAACTCCTTGAGTATGTGGTGCATTTTCATCCTCATGGCCTGAGTACAGCAGTAGTTCTCCTGTTATCAGTCTTTTTTGTCCTGAGCCAGTCCACCTTGATTTGCTGACACCCAGGATAGCTATTTTATAGCGTCTCATTTCTGCTGCTACTTGGGTTGCTTTTCCAGCTTCGTACATCGTGCGGACATTCCAAGCTCCAATATTAATGGTGGTCCTAGTGGAAATAATGGTGGTCGACCTGGTAGTTTCCAATACATATTGGCTTTCACCACCCGGCTTAATAAATTCTCCATCGGGAGATCCATTTTTCCCCTGGTCCGAGCTGTCTTTGTTTCTCTCTGTCTGCGTTTCTGTAGCGATAGTTGTTTTACGAGATAAGGTTGCTGACCTTATGCTCAACCCCCAACCTGGAGGGCCAGGGTGCTAGCTTTCGTCTGACCCCTACCCGCGCAGACCTTCCCAGCTTGGTTGAACCTGCCAGGAGTTAACACTCCCTCTGGTATAGCTCTGGGGGTCGTCAGGGTACGCAAGCTGCCAAGCCACGACAAGGCCCTAGCACCAGATGACAGAGCACTGATGTTATGCTAAGCTATTTTGTCTTGTGAGGACTAAAAATTATTATACCTGATATTGCGATGTAGTTGATGTCATGACCAGCCTTTTGTGACAATGGCCCACTCTGACCATATCCTGTCAACCTAGCATATATCAGCTTTGGATTTGCTGTGGTTAGGACATCAGGACCCAGGCCAAGTTTTTCCATAACACCTGGAAACATTTTAAAATGATGTATGGACAGAGTTAAATTTAATAAACTTCTTTATCTTACATTTTTTTTCATTTACAGAACAGTCATTGACATGCTTATTTTATTTAACAATAAAATGACAGTCTCTTAAGGTATTAATGCTTGCCAACTTTAGGAAATAATAGAAATATTTTAAACCACCAACCTGGACGAAATGGCTCTATTAAGACATCTACATTTGAACACAATCTCTTGAGAGCATTTTGGCCTTGTTTTTTCTTCAGGTCAATACAAACAGATTGTTTGCCTCGTCCCATGCAGTCAATATCTGGAGCGTTCGGCTTAAAAAATAAATAAATTCCACTCATTAGTCTGAAACTACAAGCAATAAATGAGATTTTAAAATATCGTTTATGTTATTATATATATATAATATATTAACTACTTACTCTATCAATCCTTATAACTCTTGCCCCAAAATCTGAAAGAATCATACCACAAAATGGTACTGGAGCAAGTCCAGCCATCTCAATAACCTTGATTCCTCTAAGAGCCATATTGTGAAGTCAGTATTTTTCCCCAAATCAAACTGTTAAGAGAATTCACAAATAAATTGCAACATTGAATTTATAATTTAAGATATCATTTTAGATGCCTGTATTAAGATTTATAACTAGTTAGCACTACAGAACTAGGGACAATCCTTTTCAACTGACAGTGATTTCTTAAAACAAGTTCCCGAACCCTACCAACTCCCAAACTCCTAATTCATAACACCATGTTTACCATGTATGCCTATAGCAGACATGTCTAGAAAAAAAACTGCAATAAGTTAATTTTATCGGAACATGTATAGGCCTACTTTATTTATTAATTTAATTAGTTTTTTTTTCTAGACGAGTATATAAAAGAAAAACAAGTCTTAAAATAATATATTATGCTAATCACATTTTAAGTATTCAAAAAATAAATTTTGGCCATTCCACTTGGTATTATAGGCCTATATCCAAAAATATAGTAGGCATAATAATAATAATAATAAAGGTTGTTGTTAAATATAATTACATCATAATTATCTATCGCTACCATCCCCACCAGTCTGGTGAGCTGTTTACTATCAGAGGTCGAATTAGTGATGGCTATTAGAGGCAGATAATTTAGTTTTTAAATAATTTGAAACTAAGGGGAGGTAATAACACATGCTGCTTGATATTTTCATTGTCGTCTGTAAACTGTCGTCACGGATGGCTGCTTTCACAGGGGAGGGGGAGGGGGAAGACGAGTGAAGGTGAGGATAATTGTCCTTCACTAGCTACTGATAGTGTTTTAAAGCAAAATATTTTCAGTTGCAGCATTGGTAGTGTCGAATTCACAAAATATGAAAAATAGGAGATAAAACAACTAAATAGCGGCATATGCTACGTCGCGGTCAGCTCATAATATAATAATACCAATATAGGCCTGCTATAAATAGTTAAACAGACTAATGCCAAAGTATGTACATTATTTAAAACTTTTGTACAGTAGGGCCTTAAGCAATAATTAATTAGGCCTTTATGCATAATATGTTAATAATTATAAATAGTTAATATATAATTTTATATATCTTATAGTACTAGTAGCCTATAGACTATAGTTTAAGTTACATTAAGTTTATTAACATTAAGGATTTAGGCCTAGTAAATAGTAATTTATGATTAGATCTAGGCCCTAGGCCTATAAATAATAATATATAATTAAATAAGGCCTATAAAAATATACATTTATTTTTATGAAGAGGTAGAATACATGAAAATTGATTACAGTAAATTACAGTGCAGTTTTTATTTATATTTTATAATTTTACAATCAATTTAAATTTAAACACACTGAATGAAGCCTAAATAGTAAATAAATAAAGACTACAGAGCTAAGTAATAAAACTCTAAAATATACATCTAGAATCTAATTCTATACAGTTACACCAAAATTATAAGTTAAGAACAGAAAGAGTTGATTGTTTGTGTGAACTTTGAACTCCTTGCCTATACTACAATTTAATAATAAATCCTAATATTTTATTATTTAGGCCTATTTTTATTTATATTTACTAAAATACTAGGCCTATACTAGGTACTAGGATTACATCTCGTTTTAACCCGCGCGGCGAGTTTTTCGTCCCCGTTACCCAGACGCCGAGAATTTGCGGCGACGCGAGTGCTATAGTTTCGTAATTTTTATCGCTCGGTGTTATCGCCCGATCAATTTTCGTGCGATTATCGATTTTTCGTAAAAAAATGGACATTTTGCGTTTTTGTTGTTTTTTTAATTTTGTTCATGGATTATTCAAGATGGAGTGTTTCATTGAAAATAAGGTAAGTTTAATTTACTCCCTACTGTTTATTTTTATAAAAAGGGGAAAATTTATTGCATTATTTGAATTCTACACCACTTTTCTCTATTGTTTCAAAAAATCAAGTTGTTTGGACATAGCGCACAAAAGTTATATGCAGCGCAGTTTTGTTACCTCTATAGAAAATACGTTTGTTTACAATACGAAAGCGAAAGTGGCAAGGGAGGTAATAGAAAAAAATAGCGGCGAGCGATGTTTTGACGCCGGCGATAGTGGCGAACGATGTTTTGCCGCCGGCGATAGTGGCGAACCATGTTTTTCCGCCGGCGATAGTGGCGAACAATGTTTTGCCGCCGGCGATAGTGGCGAACGATGTTTTGACGCCGGCGATAGTGGCGAACCATGTTTTTCCGCCGGCGATAGTGGCGAACGATGTTTTGCCGCCGGCAATAGTGGCGAACGATGTTTTGCCGCCGGCGATAGTGGCGAACGATGTTTTGCCGCCGGCGATAGTGGCGAACGATGTTTTGCCGCCGGCGATAGTGGCGAACGATGTTTTGCCGCCGGCGATAGTGGCGAACGATGTTTTGCCGCCGGCGATAGTGGCGAACGATGTTTTGCCGCCGGCAATAGTGGCGAACGATGTTTTGCCGCCGGCGATAGTGGCGAACGATGTTTTGCCGCCGGCAATAGTGGCGAACGATGTTTTGCCGCCGGCGATAGTGGCGAACGATGTTTTGCCGCCGGCGATAGTGGCAAACGCTGTTTTGATATTGAAGGTAGTGGAGTAGAGGGGGGGGGGGGAAGGTCTGGTGCGGTATTAGCAATAAACATTCAATATTTAGTGTCTTCAGAAAAACCATTTTATTTATTTTGATGTGAAAGCAAATAATGTACTGTTTACTTTTCCAGATAGAACCTACACTTCAAAAAACCAGCACATCTCTACGATATGATGAGCAGTTATATGACCTAATGAGGGAACACTGTGAAGAGGAATTAAAACTATTACAATAAATGTGTTCATCTTTTATTTAGATAAATTAAGTAATATTTTTTTAAATAACTTAAATAAATTTTGAAGCAGTACATTGAAAGTTTAGTGATATGAACTAGTTCTATATCTTTTTAAAACCAACCAGTCCAATGTTGAACTTCTTCTGAAATGTAAAATATTAATGAATAGACAGAACACATCTTTTGTAATTAAACTATATTTATAAGTAGACTTACAAGTTAATTACATTTATACAAATAAAATAAAATAAATCTAATTTGCCATCATTTTTTTTTACATATATTAGTTCAGTTTTTAAATGATGTCAGGTGCGTCGATGACTCAGCATTTTACCTTTTTACCATATTTTACCTATTTGTCAACTATTTAGATAGAACCATCAAACACACTTATTTCAGAGCTTCACTCTGACTAGTTTTTAGCTTTAAATTCAAATAGTTTGGACATAAGCTGATATTGTATGAACAAATTTAGTATTTAAAAATAGGGGGTGTACCCTGTTCCACCCCTTATTTTTTGTTAAACAGATAGATTTAAACACATATTTTGATTACTTCTGTTAAAGAATAGAGTTATCTTGAGCTAGACAAATTTTGAGACTTAAGTGCTTAATAACTCAAATTTGCCATTATGTTGCATGACACATCAACAAGACTTCGGTTTTGCGAAATTGTATAATTTATCAGCTTTGTAGCAGTTAAAACAAAAATCTTTTCAGTTATGAATATTAATTTGATTGTAATAACTGACACATCCATAGCTCATCATTCTCAGCAAGTTTGAGCTTAATTTTCTGAATAGTTAAAATTTTAACTGAGATTGTATGAATGCACTGTATATGAAAAATTAGGGGGGTACCCTGTTCTACTTCTGTTTTTGTTTTACTCTGCCCATAAATTTCTAATTTTATTGTTTATTATGCTTCCATATATAATAAATAAAGATATTGCAAAGTTACAACAAATTTGACCATATGGTTTACAAGCTAGGACAATTTTAGTAAACGCTTAAAAAAACTCTATCACAGATATTGAAAAAATCCTATGTTAAAAAAATCACTTTTTTTAATACGAAAAAAAATCATAACTATTTAACCGTTTGAGCTACATCAAAAAGGAAAACTGTTCTGTTATTGTAATTTTCTGCTCCTTTTAACTGTAGTAGTTGTTTCCCTAAAAAACCAATTTTAAAAATTTATCCTAGTACCTAGCCTATACAATTTATAGTTTATAGCCTAATTATATTTTGATTTATTGGTCCGAACTGGGCTTAACACGCTCTAATCGTTTAGTTATTGAGTCATATAGGATAGCAATTAATTACTTTTCTTATGAATAATTTGTTAACATTTTTGCTTAAGAAAATAAAGTCTTATAATAATGATACCAGCGGAGCTACAAAATTTATTCAAAATAGGGTTGCATAGGCTATATTAAATGACCGTACAATGCAGCTTCCCTGGCATAGTATTATTTTTAGTTTCCTATACAGAAAAGTGATATTTACCATCGTGATTGTTGACAAAAGTGTTTCTGTGACTGAAGATTTTGAAATGTCTACTTGTACCAGCTGTTAAACGTCGAACTTTCCCTTGATCTAGAACAATTTTTTAAAGTTTAAACCATACATAAATAAACAATTACTTTAAAAGAAAAATATCCTCTCAAACTTATAAAATCTAATCTTGATTCTATATTCAAGCTCGTTATGTCTCTACCAGTTGATAATGAAGTTCATGAATTAAAATTGGGAAGTAGTTTTGATTCTTTTCCTAAAGTTGGATTTCACACAATTCGTTGTAAGTTTTCGATCTAAGATCTAGAATCTAAATCTAGATAGGCCTAATAGACCTAGATATCTAGACTCTGAGTAGTTTCAATCTAAACAAGACAGAACAGTCTAAAATACTAAGAAATAGTCTAGATTTAGAAACGAAGTGTCTACTCGGAATAAGATTTTTCGGCAAAAGATAGTTCTGCGCATGCACAGTGACCTATGGCTAGGGTTAGGGCTAGAATGAGGGTTAGGGGTAGGATTAGGGATAGGGTTAGGGATAGGATTAGGGCTAGGGTTAGGGATAGGATTAGGGTTAGGATTAGGGTTAGGGATAGGATTAGGGATAGGGTTAAGGATAGGATTAGGGTTGGTATTAGGGTTCTGAGGTTGTAAACACACGCATGCGCAGTACCATCGAAAACATCGCCGCTAAGGCAAGTCGTAGTTTCTCTCCATTGCGCATGCGTATTGCATGCGTATCTTATTCCGACTAGAATCGGCCATTTAGAAAATATCTAGTTTTTTTAGTTTGTTTTTACAGTTTATTGAACTTAAATACTTTATTTAACTTTATTTGAAATTGAAATTCTTGAGTGAGATAATCTTGGATCAAATCAATATAATAAAGATCTAGATCTCCATCCCAGGGCTTTGAGCTTTATTTAGGTGCTACAACAGCATAGCTTGGGATGATAACTCACTGATAGAAAATTTCCCACAATCGAGCGTGTGTTACTAAATTTTAAATTAAATTATTTCATGATTAATTTAACCTATTCCATCACAAAGTATTAGATATTTTCACGAAATCTTAGTTGTTTTCTGCAGATGATTTTAAACCAGCATCGGTTGACACAAATAAAGAAGCCTGTGTGGAAGTAAATGGGGGAAATCAAGTCACAGTTACAGTTCCTCATGTAGAGGTATGCTTATAGGTGTAAAGTTGCCTCTGTGTTGAACTTTATCTAATGGATAAAGTTTGAATTTATATATATACATACATACATACCCACACATACAATGTTGACTAGTGTCAAAATAAAGAGCATGTGCCGTCAAAGTTTATTGACGCAGAAGAGAAAGTCTTAACTTGTGTTATATTTAATTTGATTTGTCTGTAAAAAGTCAATATGTTAATACCAGCTGAAAAGCATTTTGAAACCCACTGAATTAAAGTTAAAATTGTTTCAGGGTTCCGGTATAAGCCATACAGTTTTTAAAGGAAACAAGCAGCCTGTGATGAAAGAATGTGTACTAATAATAGATCACAACACAGGGACATACACCCTCGAAAAACTAACTAGCAAGATAACTGTTAAAAAAACGAGGTGATTGCTTGATATAAAAGGAATGGGAGCAGCCATAACACGCTAACAAGGCAGAAAAATATATTTACAGCATTTATTTGATTTTTACCAAAAATGTGTTTTTTTAAAAAATTAATTTAAAAAAGAAATTGTATGCAATTGTTTAACGATGACTGTATTTTTATTGTTAGGTTGGATGGCAGCAGTAAGGCCATGCAGCATATCACGGGTAGGGTCACACCTGTGGACAACAAAAAACTAGTTGCATCCTCCTCGCCCAAGGCCGATAACTACTCAATTACACCTATTCACAGCGAAGCATCCAGAGGTGTGTGCATTTTCTTACTCTGAATAGGTTTTACTGTCTATTCCTTATTGTATCTATTGTCAATTTATAACATCCTAAAAAAAATTAGACTGGAGTTTTAGACTCTTCTTACTACTTGTGGTTGAAATGGACAACCATAATCATTAAATTGACCTCACAAAATATACTTCCTACTTATTCCATAGCAGTTCTAATAATTGCTTAAGCAATTCACTTGTTATTAATTATTATAAGTGGAATCTAGAATGTGTTTAGGAAATAAATTTAATGTTTTAAAAGTTTAAATATGACCCCGATGTGAGTTTTAAAAAGTACAATTTTTACCTGTTAAGGTACAGATGATATAGCTTTGGTTGGTGAAATTACAGACAGTTCTGATGATGAGGATACTGTGGTAAAACCTGCCAGTCTGGGAGGTGGTGAGTAGTTAAGATTTATTTTATCTTAAGAACTTTTTACTTATAGTAGATGTTGGTTGTCCAGTTGCTTCTACATACTTTTTTTTAGCAAATTTCTCAGAATTATTAATTTAAATTAATTCATTTCTTAAGGCTGTCAGTCTGTAGATAATAATTGTGTATATAACAACATTAAAAATAAACAAGCAAGCCATAATAAACTAAAATTCTAATCAATGGGAGATAATTACTATAGGTAAACTGTTAGACGAAAACTGTTAATTATTTATTTGATACTCATTGGCTATGTGAAATTTATGAAAAATAACTCAGATGCCATGTCTACTAAATAATTAAATGATTTCTTATTTATAATTTTATTATTCAAATTTTTAAATTAATGAAACTTAAAATAGTTAAAAGAAATGAATAATTATGAATGAATTAACAGTAGACAATACATATGGGTAAAAAAAAAGCTTTAAAAGTCTTACATTTTGTTTCTGTACAGGATCCATTCAATCCAAGCACCAGATGGCAGGTGTGTTAGATGACGACTTGGCTCTCAGTGAATCTGGAAGTGACAGTGATTGATGACGACTTGACTCTCAGTGAATCTGGCAGTGACAGTGATTGATATTAGTGAATTTGGCAGTGACAGTGATTGATGACGACTTGGCTCTCAGAGAATCCGGCAGTGACAGCGATTGATATTTATGAATTTGGCAGTGAGAGTGATTGATGATGACTTAGCCTTACTGAATCTGGCAGTGACAGTGATTGATGATGACTTTTAGTAAATCTGACAATGACAGTGATTGATGATGACTTTTAGTAAATCTGGGAATGACAGTGATTGATCTCAGTGAATCTGGAAGTGACAGTGATTGATGACGACTTGGCTCTCAGTGAATCGGCAGTGACAGTGATTGATATTAGTGAATTTGGCAGTGACAGTGATTGATGACGACTTGGCTCTCAGAGAATCCGGCAGTGACAGCGATTGATATTTATGAATTTAACAGTGAGAGTGATTGATGATGACTTAGCCTTACTGAATCTGGCAGTGACAGTGATTGATGATGACTTTTAGTAAATCTGACAATGACAGTGATTGATGATGACTTTTAGTAAATCTGGGAATGACAGTGATTGATGATGACTTGACTTTTAGTAAATCTGACAATGACAGTGATTGATCTCAGTGAATCTGGAAGTGACAGTGATTGATGGCGACCTGGCTGGCAGTGAATCTGGTAATGGTTTGGCTCTCCATGAATCGGGCAGTGAAGTGGTTTAAACAAAATTTAAAATTACGGAATTGTAATCATATAGATTTTTTCTTGTTTATATGTTAAACAAAATAACCTTAAAATTTTTTTCTAAGATCTCAGTGATATGGGATCTATTCCTGCTTCTGATCATGTTATTTATGCTGTAATCTTTTCTCTTAATTGTCTGTCCCTTAGAAGTAGAAATGTTGAATGATCACTGGTTTATTTTTAATTAAACTCGTTTACGGGTAAAATCTAAAAGAGAGGATTGCCTTGTAAAAAATCTGTTTTTTAAATCAGTGTATTAATTTCTGCTGATTATAGACTTGTGTTCCAACTTATACTGCTAACTGTATGTATTGAAGTGAAAGATTAATTATTATATTTAACATTCTTTTAAATTTTTTTGTTAAAGTTGTAAAAAAATGTCTGTATTAGATTTAAATGATACCTTTACAATTACATTTTTCTGTCTTCTTCACAAATAATTCATTATTCCATTCTTGTATTTGTCTGAACATGTTACAGTTATTATGTTTCTTTAAGAGTTTTGACAAGCTTATTTTGTAACTGCCATCGTTTATGTACTGCTGTTGCTCTCCCTTCCCCGCCTCACCAGGATGCATTTTGTGAAAGACGTTAACAAACGCTTATCAATTAAAGTTTGAATCAACGTCCCATGTTAATGTGAGGATCATGTAAATCATTTTCATCCACTTCCACAATCAAATTTTGTTTAACATCTCCACAGCAGGCCTTGTTGTGTGATTAACCTACTCATCTCCAGTGAGATTATCCTTCAATCTTTTATTGATGTAATGTATATACAACTATACAACATTATTTGTGGTCTTTAAATTGTATTTTATAGTTTTAAGGATGCAGTTTAAACAGATTTATGGAGTTCAGTGTTTGATATGTACAAAGTCAGCATTATTTTATTTTTCTTTATGTAGACAAATGCTAGTCATCCATCTCATATTTAGCATGATTGTCTGACTAGTGTACTACATTTTGTTAACAATCGAGGCAAGAAATGCTGTCAACACTCAGACTAGTTGTATAATGTGATAGTCAGAGCCACTTGCACTTAAAATTACACATTTCCTTTAGCAATCAAGATTGTTTCCCTTTAGTTTTAATAAGCAATGCATTATATCAGGGGTCTCCAAACTACGGCCCGCGGGCCGGATGCGGCCCGCGAGGTCCTCTCATCCGGCCCGCGGAGATCATTTTGTCCACGGAAAAAAAACATTTTTTGGTAATGGCTGAGGAACTTTGCGCAGAAAAATCAAAGACATGTCTGGAACTAACTGGCCCCCGAACTGAAATAAGATAGTTAATGCGGCCCTCGGACTTAAAAGTTTGGAGACCCCTGCATTATATGTATAAATTTAAACAATACAATTTAAACATTTTTTTTTGTACATTATGTTACTATAAAAACTGAATCATTACTAAATAGATCTTGGCTTTGTTTTAATAAATGTAAGAGGTATTTAATAAATAAGTAATTATTACACTGTAAGCAAATATTTTTTTGAATAAACATTTTAACTATAAAACAATTTTTATATCTTTGTGTATTCTTTTCTTTTTTATGACATTTTTATTATGTGCAAATTATTCAGGAAAATTTAAGGATATGACGGTTTGCACTATAAACATTTTCAAAAAATATTTTTGCTAATTATCATTGTGTGTTAATTTTTTTACTGTTGCACGCAAGTGTTACCATTGTATAACATCATACTGCTATTAAGCTTGGGAGGGGAAAGTGTTTTGTGACTCCTATTTAAGGATATCTAACTTGTAATAACCTCAAAAGAAAGTCATGGCGTAGGCAGTTATATTGCTTCCTCAGCATACAAGTGCTCACTTTAAAGATACAAGCCATCAAGCTAGCAATATTTTGCTTTGAGATACAAATGAGCCTTAAACATATTTTTTTAAACAGCCTGTAGGTGAAAGAGAGAAAAGCAATAAAGGCAAAGGCGAGAGATGATAAAAGCAGTGATAAAAAGTAGCAACAATTGTATAGTAGCATTTAACTGAGTTCAATAAGGAAATATGAAGTATAGTTTAGTTTTACTAAGTTTAAGGATCAAGTGAAGCTTTAACAATGCTACTGAAGAGTTTAATATTAACAATATATTAAGTAAGGCTAGCTCAAATTGGCCTGAAAGAAACTCTGTAAATCAGTATGCCTTCGAATTCTGCATAAAAATAAACAATGATTAAATTCTACTAAGTTGTGATAAGTTTTATAATATGTATTATTACTAGAATACTAATGTAACCTACATAAATTAAAGGAAAGTGTAATAAACTTATCATGTAACACAAACTAAGTATGCAAAAAAGTACGCAAAAATAAGTGCAAAATGCATACTAATAGTCAGAATCAAATGAAAGAAAGCATTTCATGTTTTGTATTCTCTTTAATAAACAATTGACAGTTAAATTTCATTTACCTTGATGAAAGATTGACTTCTTATCAACAATTTAAAAAAAAAGTGAAACTTTCTTAAAACATTGTTTAACAGATGGAAACAAAACTAAACAAGTTACAGTTAATTCAAAGAAAAAAATGTAAGAAATTTTATATTTACAAACTAACAAATGGCATTCATTGCTTTTATTCTAAAATTGCATAGGAAGCTCTAAATAGAGATGACGAAGATCAAAAAGACCATTAAAATGAAGTAGAAAAACAATTAAAAAACAGTGCAGTATTTAAAAAAAACTTTAAAGGAACAAAGGATAAAAAGAAAACAATGTAACATACATGAGACTAGTTTGAAACTAAGTAGTTAAATTGCCACTAATGGCTTTTTTCTAATTAGCCATGCATTTAGCTAAAATAAGTTGACTCTAAATACTTGATAACAGCTTGCATTGTGGTGGTTAGCAATACAAATATTTTCTACATAGATAAAACATATGAAATTCAACTTCTTAGTTGGAATGTAAGTTTTAAAAGTGCAAACTTTATTGTTATGTCTGCATCTGATTTAAAACATTTTATTCATTTATAATGCAATTATAGGGTTTTTGAAATTAAATCGTTAGAAACTAACTTAATAATCTTTTGAGAAAAGTTTACATTCAAATTTTTTCAACAAGAAACCACATAAAATATGACAAGAATGCATATTACATATTCATTTCAATAAAACAAATCCTAGTTGAAAATTTTCTACAAGTGAAAAAGGCCTCTGTGCCTACTGTTGTTACTGTTATTGAATAAATTGAACAAATATATACTATATTTTTTTATGTAACCTTCAAAAATGATTTAACATTTGTTTTTGACCAAATTATTTCTAAATTCTTATCAAATAATTTTACAAAATGAATAATTTATATATCATGTCTATCATATTAGAGCTCATTAAATAAATATATAAATTTCTTAAAAATATAATTATATTTAGCAAATAATTATTTTTAATACTCTGTGGTCCCAAACATCCAAAATAAAAATATTAATATTTTAACTCCTACTGGCTTGCGCAACTTGACAAAGTTGCACAGTAAAGTAAAAAATTCAATGATTTGATCATAATTTAAATTAGTAAAAATGATGTTTATTTATACAGATATAATATGTACAATTATAAAACTATATAGTTGTGACAGCAACTCTTAACAAAGAAAATGATATGTTTGAGTATTATTAATGGTATAGTTTTACGACCAGAATTTATCACACATATTTTTTTCAAAAATTATTGTCTGTTCTCATGTAAAATATTTTAAAAATTAACACCCATTAAATGTCAGGTGTGATTAGATATGAAGGTCTGATATTTTATTTCTATTGAAATCTATTTTAACACATTTGAAGAAGTGTGATACTGTTTAACATTAGTGAAAGAAATATGTTTTGGGAATATACAAAGACATAATTATTATTTCCTAAAATTAATAGTCAGCTACTCTAAAATATGAAAATCTGTCAATGCTAGAATATATCTAAAATATTTAGTACAGACACATTAACTCTCTAAATTTTTATAATTGGAATTTCATCTTTAAAAATCGACATTAATTTAGTGTTTAAAATAAATTGTTTACACATCTGTAGGCCTACATATTTCAGATCATTTTAGTTTGTAATAAAACAACAAAAGTCTGAAGATATATACATGTGCATAAAGAGTTTATAATTAATTTTTTACTTTCTTAGAACTTGTAATGTTTTTATTTGTAGAGTAATAAGTTTAATACAATTAGAAAACAAGTTGTTTAACCTATTATCAAAATAGAGGTATCTAAAGACAGTTAACATTGCCTAAGTATTTACACTTCCACCTGTGTATCTAAAACATTGTATTGATTTAATTCGGAAAATTGAACATTTAAATGCAGCGCAACTTGGTTTCTATCAATTAGCTATTTATGTTCCAACAATCACTGAAAAGTTGGATTAATGTGATAAGTCTCTGGACAACAGTCGTCAGTTACAAGAAAACAACAATCTCTTCCAACTTTTTGTTGTGGTCAACTGGTTTCATTGGGGTAGCTAAAGTAGCTTAGGCCCAAGCTTATTTGCTACATTAGAGTTATAATATAGAGAAAGAAAGAATTAACAAACAATATTATTGAAGTATGTTATTAATGTTGCTGGGTGAATAGTTTGTTACAGTGAATTTGTGCATTTTTAAGTGGTGGTTATGTGTCAAAACCCCTACTAAAGAAATATTTTAAAAATATTTTGCTATCTCTACTTATCTTTTCTCTAATTTTTTTTTGAATAAGCAGCATTATATAGTATGAAACACTATTAGACCACAGTAGTTTTAACTATTTACAGTGGATTTTAGTGGAGTTACTTTTGTTTAAAGATTACTTGGTTTGTATTTCAAAAGTTTTCACCATACACCACCAGAAGAAACTCATAAAGGAAAATAGAATACTTATTGAATTATTATTTTTAAAAATGATCTAAATTTTTTGGTAGATGTTAGTTTCTTGGCCTTTAACTTAGCTTTAGTTTTGACTTACCTTTAGTTACTTAACTCTACATCCTCACATCTTACATATTTATCTTCATGTAGAAGGATGTTCATAATGATACTCATCATTGACTCCATTGTGCTGGATTTGCTAATTAAATATTGTAATTGCTATAACATATTAAAAAAATACTGCACATTTTTACAGAATGGCAAATCCTTAATTGAAATATTACAAAAACGAACACACTTAATAGCCGTTAAATAAATCCTTTATAATTGACTAGAAGAAGTTTAAAAATCATAAATTCAGTATAATTAAAGTTTAAAAAAAAGAGTACTTGTAATGTGGTACAGACAGAAAGCACAAATAACTTCTATAGAATGTACTTAAAAGCACAAATGCCTACTAAAGTAGAGTTCTCTTCTTATAATTGACAGTCTGTGTAAAAATATAATTATACAGATTATAACTTGTCATAATCAGGCTAAAGAAAGTAGCTGAGATATGTTGAACATTATGAAATACAACATACTCTAACAGTTATACTAAAATCCTTTACACATTAAATCTAGTATCAACATATAAGTAAATGGTTTTAAATAAAAGCAATATGCACATGAAACATGGGTAAACATAATTTTAATCTTGGCACTAATGAATATTCCATCACAAAGCTGCACTACACAACATATTACAATCACAAACTTGAATACTTTTTGTAAAAAATAAGATATAAATGAAAGTGGTTTTAAACTGCTCTTAAACAAACTAATGTTTAAGTGAGGACTGTCAATCAAATTAGCATTTAGTAAAACTCTAATTTTTTAAAAATTGTTTTACTTTTATTTACTCCAATTTTTCATTGCTTTGTTAAAATACTGTATTGACCAATTAGTTGAAAGAAAAAAGATATAATCATTTACTTTAAACAGCTAGGAGAGGTATTTTAATAGGACAGCGATACGTATTTCAATGCATAAATTCATGACTTACTATGGGTTTCCAGGCCATAAGCTGCAAAGTGCAAGATGATTACTGCATTTGATGAAACAACTCGTTAGTGTAACTGACCAATAAAATCATTTTACTAGTAAAAAAACTATTTATAAACATATTAGGAGAAGGCTTTATCATTTTAAAAACAAATATATTTATATTAAAATGTACTAGGTAACTTAAAATAAACAATAAACTCCTGTAAATGAGCCAAAATTCACCGACAAATCACCATCTGAACAACATAACAGGTTAATATATATATGTATATATATATATATATATATATATATATATATATATATATATATATATATATATATATATATATATATATATATATATATATATATATATATATCGTGGCATACATCTTTATTAGTCTCAAGCTAGAATAAATTGATAAATTATTTTAATTACTGTCAGTTTTTGTTTTTTTAAATTACTAGATTTGTGATAGTTAAATAAATTATTTTTATTAGAGAAAGAATGAATAAATGGAAGATAAATTACTTAGACTGGAAGACTAAAGCCTGCTTTCAATTTTTTAAGTGAAATGTGTAGTCATCATAAAAATTATTTTTTCTGAGATTCCTCTCATCATTAATGTGAATTGCAGAAGAATCATTTTTAAAACCTTCAATAAGTTAGTAAATGCAGTTGCACAAGAGAAGGAAATAGGAATTATGTAACAAACAATTTCCGCCTATGAAAGTGAGTCAATGGTTAAAATGGTAATGGTCCAAAATCCACATACACTGACAAAAAAGTGTACTTCAATATATAAAAATATATTTTTCTCTACATTATAAGTTAATTCATGAAAATAGATATTTTGTTTTTAGAAACTTTAATTTCCTCAAAGTTCTTGACCACAATTTAAAACAAATTATAAATATAATTACAATTAGAACTAGATCATTACATTGTTTTATGAGAACAAACAAGTTTTTAAATATTTAATTACATAGTTAAAAAAAATTAGCCAATTGATTATTCTTTTTAATTTTAAAAAGTTAATTTACACTAAAGATATAAAATGTTAACAATGTTTTTGTTTTTAAACATTTTATTCATCATACCTAGTTTAAACATTTTTTAAAATAAAGTTTTATTTTAAAACAAAGAAGCAAGATAAAAAGTGTCCATTCTGTTGTTATCATTTTTTATTATATAATTCTAAGGCAATTGTTGATTATATCTCACATTTATTACAAACATACTGGCAGGAAATATTCTGTAATTTGGTCCAGTATGTTTTAAAACATTTTGAACTAGGAATAAGGTAAAAATAATGTCTTACAATATAAACAAATAAATGAAAAGTATTTGTCTGGAATGTTCATTTACATTCACTAATTTTACATTATCAATTCATGGAAATAAATGATAATGTAATGATTTTTTTTCCTATTTTAACAGGTAAAAAAGAAATGCCTTTTGCTGCTAGGCAAAACTGCCAGCTAAAAACAAATAATGGAAAAAATCACAACAGTATTCAGATCACATAAGCAACTAATCACTCTGATTGTGTAGCTTATCCCTGTTAATGCACTTGTTCTCTTTTCATGAAACATTTTAGTTTGTATATTTAAAACAAAGGCTTTTGTTACAAAATCTGATCTGTACCTGGGTGAGAAAAAAACCAAAACTTGTAATTTATTAAACTAAGGTATCTTTATAATCATCAGAGTCATCGGGGGCATCAATCAGCCTGCGCTGTTCTAATGTTAATGCATCTCTAGTTCCAACCACTGTCGGATGATACGGATCTTGGTATGAACGTGGTAACAGACGCTCTTCAGAAGATGAAGAGCCATCGGATGAACTTGGCTCCCCACGTTCTGATAATGTAGGCACCGTTGCTTGGCTGACTGTTGACATTTGCTCTGATTCTTCAACAACATTGTCTATTTTTTGTCTGCTGCTTGTGGTCAAGCGTGGACTGGCAGTGGACAAGCTGGAGGAAGCAGGAACTGAGCCCTTTGATTGGCTAGACTTTGGCAGGACATATGCGAGACTGGAAGGTGACAGGGGATCAGTGCTAGAAGACTGCGAGACATGGCAGGATTGACTGCTGAAGGAAGGAGACGAGAGTTGCGTCGAGAGAGGTACTGATTCTGTTTGGGACTGGGGTAACCACGAAGCACTGGCACCACCAGACTGAAAATTTACAAGCAATTTATTATAGTTTATATACATTTTTATCACAGACAATTTAAAAACTTTAATGCAGAAAACAATAAGAAAAACCTTTGGAAATGAGTAGTAGAACGTATTTTTTAAAAAGTTTATATTTTAATATAGGGAAATTTAAAGACAGGTACATTTAAACATTAAAACTTATTCACGGCTTAAAACAAATTTATTTTAAATAAAATTCTTACTTAACATTTCATTTAAAAAACAAGTGATTAAAACTTACAGCTTCTATAACTGGTGGTGGTGGAAAACTATGTGGTGGGGAGGGGTAATCATAAACATGAAAATCTCCTGCTGTGGGGCTTGGGAATGTGTCTCCTTCTCCCATTCTAGGTGGTGGTGGTGGAGGAGTGGAAGGAGAAGTAAACTGGCTGTGGCCTTGAGACTGAAGAACTTGAAGGATAAGGGCGATATCTGAGCTCATCTTATGTTCCAGCCTTGTGAGTTGTCTGTTGAAATAAAAAAAAGAATTTACTTTTTTGTTAAGGAAACAAATAATATCTTTAAACTGCCTCAATATTAAAGAAGTTCACCGAAATTAAAATGTTATCTACAAGTTTAAAAAATAAAAGATGAGATAAAAATAAAATTTGTAATATTTTCTTACTCTCAATTTCACTAAAATTTATGTCCTCATCAAATGAAGTTACAAAAAAATTAAGTGTAATATTTTCTTGTTTTGACAAATTAGTGTTATTTTTCTTTCAACATCAAGGGAGTTAAAAAAAATTAAACATGTATGTTTATTTACTTTGAAAGTTCATTGAGTCTTCTTTCAACATCAAGAGGGATCGCTGAGTACATGTTAGTAGCCTCGCCTTGCATAGCTGTTGGCATAATCACAACCATTTGTCCCTGGTCATCAAACTGAGAATAGCTTGATGTGCTAGAAACTGGCAGGGTCATAGTGGATGTAGACTTGGGTACTGAAGATATGGAAGCTCCTTTTGCCTATTTGGAAATTTATCAGAAGAAATATAGAGAGGATTTGGTGGAGTTTAAAAATATGAAATTAAAAGAAATAAAAAATAACGGATTATATTAATACAAATATTAATAAGTATGTTAGTTTTAGTAAAAAAAAAAAGTAAGTGTATGAATATTTACAAAATTAAAAAAATTCAGTTTAGCTCTAAATTAAAATTGACCATTTGAAATACTTCCCTTAAACACTTTATAAGTCAATAAATTACTGTAACCTAAGGAATGATCCCCTCCCCCCCCTAGAATTAGTTTAATAAAATGACACCTAATAATATACCCAATGTAAAAAAATAATTTTGGAATAAAATTTACTAAGTAAGCTGATTGATAGTAAAAGATGCACATAATTATTAAAATGCTAATCTGATTACAATGTCTTGATTTGACTAAAATATAAGTTACATATATCTGCAAGTATATGAGTATGCATAAATTCTCATTAAAAAAATTCTTACATGTGCTTCAGGACTTGCATTCTGGTCTTGAAGAAGTGGGGCCAACTCTTGATTACGTCTACTCCCATCATAGCGGTTGGACACTACGTTCATTAATGTACTTGAGACACTGGACAATGCACCTGCTGCATCATCAAGAAAAAATTATTTATTTGTGCAAACCAACCCATGTTAGGAAAGTCACCATTACACTCAATTCAATTCAGAATATTTAAATATGAGAAGCATGTCTTGACTTGCTACAAGTCACTATTACACTTGAAAATAATTTAAATATGAGAAACACGTCTCTAACCAACTACAAGTCACTATTACACTAAATCCACTTGAGAATATTTTAAATATGAGAAATACGTCTCTAACCAACTACAAGTGACTGTTAGACTCATTCACTTAAGAATATTTTAATTATGAGAAACATGTCTTGACTTGCTACAAGTCACTGTTAGACTCATTCACTTGAGAATATTTTAATTATAAGAAACTCGTCGCTAACCTGCTAAACTAGAGAGACCAGCGGCTGTTCTCTTTTTCTCATCTTTACTTTCAAAATCAAAATTAGCCGGAGTCATATCAAGGCCGGCTTTAGCTGGGGTGAATTCTAAAATGCCTCCACCACTTTCCCGAACTTCTTCATCATCACTTGGATATTCCATTGAATTGTGGCCTCCATCCTCATGTGACCGCCTCTTGCGCAGTCGAGTAGACCGAAACAAGTTTGGACCTGGTGCATCTTCAGCTGTTGAATAAAAATAGTGGCACATGTGATCTAGAGAAATAATTCTTCATAAATAATATTCACTCAAAATTTTAAACACTATTTAGATTTTAATAACACACCTTAATAATGAATATCTAAACAACTGAATAAAAATAGTGGCACATGTGATCTAGAGAAATAATTCTTCATAAATAAGTTTCACTCAAAATTTTAAACAATATTTAGATTTTAATAACACAACTGAATAATGAATATCTAAACAACTGAATAAAAATAGTGGCACATGTGATCTAGAGAAATAATTCTTCATAAATAAGTTTCACTCAAAATTTTAAACAATATTTAGATTTTAATAACACAACTGAATAATGAATATCTAAACAACTGAATAAAAATAGTGGCACATGTGATCTAGAGAAATAATTCTTCATAAATAAGTTTCACTCAAAATTTTAAACAATATTTAGATTTTAATAACACAACTGAATAATGAATATCTAAACAACTGAACTCACCCCATATGTGCTGACTGTTTAAGGGAACATCTTCAGTAGTAACATAGGTAACTATATTAAAAAGGAATATGGTAGTTAAAATATTTTAAGATTTTTATATTGTAGAAATTTGTTATGCAAATTAATGGATAAATAAATCACATTCTTGGTGGAGAATCACACTTATGTAAGTAAAAGTTTGTCATTCATTAAAAGAATTAATTTTTTAAAATTCACGAAGATAGATAATATTTGATAAATGGAAGTTATATTCTGGATTGTTATTTTATTGATGTAATCAGACATTCACACTGAAACTTATCAGACAAGAGTTCAAATGCCACAGACCAGTTATAGTGTTTTAGAATAAGTTAAGTGTCAATTCATCACTTTCATACTACACGAGTTTGCATCACATATATAAAAACAATTCATCACTTTCATACTACACGAGTTTGCATCACATATATAAAAACAATTCATCACTTTCATACTACACGAGTTTGCATCACATATATAAAAACAATATATTTTTCTATCTATTAGACGTTCTGTATTAAAATGATACAGTAAATAAAGTTAGAAAACAGGCTTCAAGTATTAGCACAGGGAGTTTACAACATTTCAATAAAACTTGGCACAATATTCTAATAATAGCATACATAAAAACTAATTGTCTCATCTAAACAATTCAAACAGAACAGTATACACAAAAATTAATAATTTCTACATTAACTCTAAAAAATTCCTTTTTAAAAATATATTTAGTGTTATGCTTTTGTAACAATCACAAAACAAACTTTTCTTTAAAATTTAGCAATCTCTTTTCAGTATTAGGATTATGTTCTTTTTAAAAATACAACATAAACTACAAACCACTTGTTCATGACAACTATTACTAAACATGCTGTTTTTAAAATAAGATCTGTTTCTTGTTTTATAGTTCTTTACCTAATTATTGCAATCTACTACCTAGACATCTATTACGTCTACATGATACTTAATTCTTAAGAAAATAAATAATGACCTTGCTTATTACTCAAAGATGTTTATTCGACACATACATTTTTAAGGATGTCTATATGACAATATAGGTATGAGTTATAAATGCTTTAGCATTACATTTAAGAAGTGGGGGGGTTTTAAAATAAAAATCTTTTAACTTCACATACATTCTTATTTTTCTTCTAAAAAGGCCTGTGCAAGTAACTTTATTAATTCTGTATCAGGTCTACAAGATCCCTTAAGCCATTGCAAAAGCAAATACATTCACAGCTAAAGCCACCTTAAACTAAAGACAACCCAGTGAGGAATAAAATGTGCAATAGTTTTGTAAATCTTAAACCCTATTGAGGAAAAGAAAGATTACTCTAACCATCTAGTACTAGTTAGCTCCCATTGACCAATACTTTGTGTTTCAGCATTACCTCTCTACTATCTACTCTGTGAACTATATTATCTCTCACCTGATGTGGACATCACTGGGATATCTTCTGGAAGTTCTACAAAATTAATTAGGCATTAATCAGCAAAGTATTAGGCAAACCAAACAGCAAAACAGTATTATTGTAAATCAAATTAAAATTTCAGCAATGCCAAATAATTTTTTTCAAAAGTATGCATACGTTTGTTTTTTAGTAGTGCATTTGATTATTTTGTTGATTTTTATAAAGCTTTTGATAACAATTAAAATATCTGCAATTTATTTTTGTTATGAATTATTAGACACTTAGATTATAAATTGTGTTAATGCTGTAATAACAATTGTAATTTTAGAGATTAGGTTAGTTGCAGAAAATTAGCGCCTTAAATAGAAATAAAAGACAAGATTAGTTGGAATAAATAAGTGAAGTTGGTTAGGATAAAAATACAGATTTCCTATTAAATCATTGTATGAATTCTGAAGAGGGGTTGGAAGCAGGCGTCATTACTTAAATATATAGAAAGTGTTATTTTAATTCAAGGATTAACCTTTTTATAAATAGTTAAAAACAAAACAAAACACAAACTATGTTTGACTTTTTACATCGATTAATATTTTAAAACTGTGGTTTGTAGTGCTTTGGAATCAATAAAATTGTTAAATAGCATTATTTGCTATGGTTATTTGTTGGTCGATTAATAAAATCATGCATTTATCTACGAACATTGTCAAATATTTTTACACTACATTAGTATTCACACAATAGAAATGGGTTAGGATTGAAATAAACAATCATGATTCCCATAAAAATGAGAAAAGAATCATGCCAAGTGTAAAGGTAAGATACTTACCCTGGGAGTCAGACTGAAAAGCTCCAAGGTATGGAACAGATTTTAGAGATCTTCTAAACCTTGAATTTCTCCTAGAATTAAGACCATCGTCATGAACTCTAAATAAACAGTGAACCTGTGGGCAGAAAATAAAAAGTGAAAGTGTGACGCTAGAGTTGAACTTTGATGAATTAGTTGGTTAAGCCCCTTACAATATAAGAAAGTGTTCACTTAATCATTACCTAAAATCAAATCTTGTAAAACATTTATCTTTCTTTATTGATTATTCTACTTTTCCATAATTCAAACTGCAAGATACAATTTCCACTCTTCAATTCTCTATGAGTATCTTCCTTTTCGGGTAACTAAAATGATTTTATGTCAGTTTTTGAAAAATTATGTACTTGCATGAATTCATTTTAAATTACAGCAATTTTGAAACAACTAATTTAAAAAAAATGATCCAGTGCAAACAGCCCAATTTTCTCATCTTTTATTTTTTAGTAATAGCAATAGTTTTTTTATGTGTTACTTGTGTCTATATTTAATATATCATATCAAGAGTCTCTCCCATACTAAAACAGACATAGCATTTACATTCTTGTGTGGATGTCAGCAAGTGCAATAAGTAGCTTCTCAACCTTTAACCTTTAACCTCTCAACCACGTTAAAACACTGTTAATGGTGATTTTACACAGACTGCTCAAAGACATTATTCATAACAATAAAATGAAACATGAAAAACTGAAAGCCATGTTTACTTTCTGCCCCCACCCAATCCCATCTCACACAAGCTATGTAAATTCTAAGCACACAATTAGAACCTTGGGACAATTCATTTAATTATTCATAAGCAAACAAATTTTCCAGGCTGGTCTGAAAGCTTGTGTTAGAAAACTAATGGTTAATCAATACAGGAAAATCTCTTGTGTAAAGAGTTTAATATATGAAAACAAATAATAGAAATAGTTTTTGTAAGTATCATAAATCCAGAACATAAAAAACTTAATTGTTTTTTTAGTATTCTAATATTACACCATACATTACACTACTCTTGATTGTATCAAAATATAGATCTTATGTTTGTATAAAAAAAAAATGGAAATGATAGTCTAAAGTTACTTACATCCCTGAGGTCAAAGGTTATTTCTAAATTTTTTCTGAAATCCTCACTGAACTCTGGGTACATGTCCAGAATCTCCAGCAAATCACTGCGATGAATCTTATGGAGATCACAGTAGGTCAAGGCCCTAACATTGCAGCTTGACTTCCCTACTGTTTCATACTTGCATATGTTCTCACCAAAAACATCATCTTTTCCTGTACACATTTTAGTTACAGTTGTTAAAGTACAGTGAGACTTATATCTAGTTTTACAATTGTTACTTTCTAGTCAACTTTTTTTTTAGCTTGAGTATGTTTAATTTTTAACTAATCTTACTACTTAGTGTTTGCCACTTCATATTTAATTTTTTTATTAATATTCTTCAATGATATGCAAGAAACATGCTAAAGGCATTAAAATATAATTTAAAGCTCATCAAGGTAACAGAGTTTTATATAAGCAAACATTATATAAAAGGCTAACACATATATTAGTTAGTGCAATTTTTTGTAATATAACACACAACAGTCAGTTCATTTAAAAACTTACCTAAAATGGCAACAACTATATCATCTTTGAGAATTTCAATAGAACCTCTGGAAATAAAATATAAGGCTGAGAGCACATCTCCCCTGTGTACAAGTGTGTCTCCAGGTGGCACGTGTGTTGTTTTAAATTTCATCGACAAAGTTCTTAAACAACCCGGGCTGGCACCTACAGTTACGTCATATAAGGTAATTTTGTTAAATTTATGTGTATATATATATATATATATATATATATATATATATATATATATATATATATATATATATATATATATATATAAACAGACACACATACATATCAGCTTTTAGTTAAGTGTGTAGTAATATTAAAGCTCTGTTTACAGTACTATTTTAAATGTATTATCCAAAACTGTTCCTTACTTTTAAATGCAGGGCAATTTTGAAGTAAATTTCTATTTAAATGCAAGCAAACATCAGCCTGTATACATTCTGGGAAGCTCTTTAAAACCTGTCAGCAAAGTTTAAAAAGGTTTTGTTTTAATGCAAACACAAAAATTGATAAAATTAATGGATCTTTAGATCTATATTTTGAAACTTTTTGTAAAAATTTGTATTCCAGTAATCAATGAAAAAAAAAAAGAAATTAATAATTTCAATTAGTGACAGTTACTGACCATATTCATGTCAATGCCATTTGTATAAGACCAAGCATGTTGAAAATATTCCTCTAAACGTTGCCGCAGAGGGTTAGGAATTTGATGAAATCGTATAAATTCTTTGATTCTTAGCATTTGAGTATGATAACGAGATGTGCCTGAGTATAACCTCTGAATAATTGCGGAAACATTACCAAAGATACTAGCATACATAAGGGCTGAAATATAAATAATGATCAATTAGCTATTTGAAAAATTTACATTATTTTGAAACATTAACATTATATAAATACATAAATATAAATATTTAATATATTGGAGTATATATTATGTAATTATTTTTGGTACTGTACTGGTTGCAAGCAGAGTTTTACACTACAGCATTGAATTGATTTTCTCCTGGTATGACATGAATCAAGTTGGTGTAGGGGAAAGGGTTAAGGTTAATACAGATGTTCCATCAGAAAACAGCTTTGGTGCACCAGATAGATTCAAAGAAGTACTTTAGTTTTACTAATTATTTATTAAGTATCTTAATCTTATGTTGTAAGTCTGCTGCAATAGTTACATATATATGTATGTGTGTCTGTGTGTATTTGTGTGTGTGCATGAGAATACTTATAATTTTTTTCCCAACTTGAACAATTTAAAAGTTAAAAACTTATATTCTACTAAAATTCAAAGAGCATACATTAAAAAAAAAAACACAAGTGACATTTACAAAGGCAACTTACATCCTATAAGCATGATAAGAATAGAAAATATTTTCTCTGAGTTTGTGTTAGGTGAAACATTTCCAAATCCCACACTCGTCAAACTTGAGAAAGTGAAATATAAGGCTGTCACATATTTAGACTTTATAGTTGGACCACTGTGGATGTCATTGCTGTTATAGTACTGATGCGTTTGATTAGCCAACTGATCCAGCCACCCTATTTTTGGAATATTTGTATTTAAGCTGCGCTCCATGTTTCCAATGGCGTACCATATACAAGCCAACCAATGAGCTATAAGAGCAAACGTGGCCATTAGAAGAAGAAGAACTGCTGCACCATATTCGGAATATCTGTCCAGTTTTCTGGCCACACGAACCAAACGTAGCAACCTGGCAGTTTTCAGTAAACCTATTAACGTCGTAGTCTGAGGAATAAAACACAACATTTAGAAATCTTTAGTATGCATTGCCTTGATATTTTAAAAATATTTATTATCTAGAGCGAATAGATAGGTATTTTATAGAAGAGTTGTATAGGTATTCTATAGAGGGGTTGTATAGGTATTTATAGAAGAATTGTATAGGTATTCTTGAGAGAAAATGTGTAGGTATTCATTCTGTAGAGGAGTTGTATAGGTATTTTATAGAAAAGTTAACACAATTGAGCAGATGTACTGAACTATTCCCTTTTATGGGTATCCTCTATGTCCATGAGTCCTAACACCCTTGCATTATAATATTCTTATATTAACTTTATGCATAAATTAGTTTGAAATTTACAGCCTGAGATTTTCTAGCTGTAAGATTATATAAACCTCAAATTACAAGCAACTTGGTTTTATGTAGTTATCATTTTCAAACAGATTATCCAAAGTCAGAAAATTCTGCTTAATTTGAAAACTAAAATGCTTAAAAAAGTATGTGGATTTCCACACTTTAAATTAAAATGATAATAACAATAGTAAATGAAAAGCATTTTATGTTATTTAAATGAATTTTTAAATCGTTTTTTTTTAAAAACTAGTTCCTTACCTCGTCTGTTTCTGAACCAAACAACAACAGATCAAATGGAATGGCAGCAACAACATCAATGAGGAACCATCCTTTGAAATAATGAACAGCAATCTTGCCAGGGTGGCTGACCACCTCGTCATTTTTATTCACATATGTGGTGCGGAAATTTATAAAAATATCAACAATAAACATAATATCAACAATCAAGTCAATAATAGTGAGAGGTTCTGAGTAACGTTCCTGGATGGTGGCTGGAGATTTATTGCTGTTTTTCTCTTCACTCAACAAGAAAGCGGCAGCGTAAGGGGTGAAGATGGCGGTGTAAATAACTAGGAGGAGGATAATCCAGTCCCAGACTGCCTTGAAAGGGGAGTAATGCAGGAGAGTGAACTTGTGGATTTTCTGAGACTGTAGCTTGTACTCCGGTAGAACGTCAGCCCCCAAAGATAGAACCTGAAACAAGAAATCTATACTTAGATTTGGCTTACATGTATCATAAAGTCAATAGAGGTTAAAAGGAGAGCTGAAGAGCAACCTCCTGCAGAATATGAAAATAACTATTAGACATGTGTTTCCTGTAAACACAGTAATGATTGTGTTATTTACATGATTGAAAGCAAGATTAGATCACCACATCTAGAGAAACATTTATTTGTTTCTAGCTTCTGACATTTTACCTGGACCCAATATTTGGTAGATGTACACATTAGGGTCCCCAGCTATGGCACATAGGCCAGATGATCAGGGCCCCAAATTGTACACATATGCCAGATAGCCAAGATATCCATACATTTTTCACATGTCCATATTGCAAACCTATAAGGCATAAGCGAAAGCTACAAATCTTCAGGGGATATCAGTTGTGTGTTTTGTCAGTGTTTACTTAGTCTACAACTGTAAATTTACCTCCCAAATTATTAAATTAAGCTATTGCAATTATGTTTGTCTGGAATTTATATATCTTACAGTTTATTTAAACAACAATTAAAAAAAAAAATTAATTCTAAGAGATGTAACTACATTTCCTTTTGTTTTGTTTAAAATACGCTCAATTAATATAAAAACTGTGATTGTCATCAATCTTTCAAACATTGATTCTGTAAGGCTTATGTGAGCTTGTATTTCACCCAGACTTTCTTTGATTTAGATGTGCATGACAGTTTAATTTGCTCCAGGCCTCACCTGCTACCTGCCAATATTCAATACACTCTGAACGCAATCGTACTGTAGCGGTTCTCACACTGAGCAGTTTCTGCCTGGGTTTTTTTTACTTTCGCTTTCAATACATTTTGACAGACGCAAATTCTGTGTAGTTGATGTTATGGGTAATTTGAAGTTACGATAATAAGCCAAAAATCGTACTTGTTCTTAAATAATTTGAGATTTATACCTAAATTTAGATTCAAAAGAATGAAGTAAACCTTTTTTGCTACTTTTATATTTAAAGTAATTTTCAAAACTTGGTTTAGGTCCTTTAGGTGTAAAATATTCTAAACAAGAGTTACCGGACATTGTAAAGAGAGAAAACTCTAGATGGCTGCATAATAAACGAAATGTGGGGCTATTATAATTACTCAATGAACTAGTCTCGTACAGTAGCTTTTTCGTGACTTGGCCGTGTTTATAACAGTTTATCACAGGGAAAACAAAAATGTAAAGAAACACAAAAGCCCTGATCCTAGCCATTTGGCAAATTAAATTGGGTTTAACTCCAGATCTCCTGTAGGGGGGACCACTCAGACGGCCTTGTAGTTTTGCGTGCAGTCAATACAGTGTAAGCCAGGACAATCATGTGACGATGGCGTCATTGATTGACATGTGCACTACACTTACTCTTACCTTCCATACGACAAGCATCATTTGCAACTTTCACCTTACAATATACACATATCTTAACTAATTTTATTTTACAAATTCAACCGAAGCTAAGGTAATCATTATCATTCTCGTTTTCTCAAAGAGGAAATAGCTGATGATTAATTAATGAAGATTACAGAAAGCAAGATTTCACAATCGACCAAAAAATCTAGAATCATGTGTGATCACGTGACAAGCTCATAATTTCCACTGTTGCCTGTGATTCAATAATTAATCAGTGTAACAGCATCTTGGAGATAACGAATTGTGGACATAGGGAAAAACGTTTTACTAAGTTTTACTAAATTTTAAGGCTTTATAAAATTTCAGTCCTTTTTTCAGGCATCTTTTCGCAGCATCCCCCCCCCCATCCAATTATAAAGCACTTCCACCGTTCTCCAAGGATTAAATAGAAGGAAAAAAAAGAGTTTATATTCTGTAAACAATGTCCGCCCCTGCCCCCTCCCTCGGAAACTTTAAGTGGCCCCACCCATTTGGGATTTGGTTTTAACCATTGGGAAGTCCTAGTTTGGTGTTAGATTTCTTAATAACATTATCAATTAACCAATATTTAAACATAGGTAATGCAAGGGTACTCCTGAAGGTGCTGGTTCATTAGAAATTCATCAAGGTAATTCAGAAATTACATCATCAATTGAGTCTTCTGATTTATTTAATCAACTTCCGAGATTAACAACGTTAATAATAACGTTCATTATCCCCAATGGTTATCTATCACCAACGATTTCTTTAAATTATTAAAAGAATCTTTTCCATACCTTATTTTACGTTTTTTTTTTGTTTCACAACGAAGCTGGTGAATATTATTTAAAGTCATTGGCTAAACTCGAGATCTACATTTCAGGCGTTATTTTAATGTTGAATTTAACTTTTCTCAGTTTTCATTTAACTTCATGCTTGTTTTTACAGTGGCATAGTGGGGTTCCTTGATGTGCTACAGAGAGTGTTGGACACATTTCGTCACCAATAAGTACAGTTGTACTACTAAGTTGTATCGAACTTTCATGATCCATGTTAGTTGTGAGACACTATATATATATATATATATATATATATATATATATATATATATATATATATATATATATATATATATATATATATATTGAGAGACAGAGAGAGAGAGAAAGAGAGAGAGAGAGAGAGAGAGAGAGAGAGAGACGATCAAATATACCTACACCTAAGGAAGACAATAACAGATATGTGCACCAAGGGAAGACAATCACGGATATCTACAGCAATTGAAGACAATCATTTTTATTATATACCAAGAGAAGACAATCACAGTTATTTATAGCAGGGGAAGACAATCACACATTTCTTCAGCAAAGGAAGACAATCACAGACATGTACAGCAAAGGATGACACTCACAGTTATCTATAGCAAGGGAAATAATTACAGATTTCTTCAGCAAGAGAAGACACTCACATATATCTACAGCAAAGGAAGACAATCACATATATCTACAGCAAAGGAAGACAATCACATATATCTACAACAAGAAAAAGACAATCACAAACATCGACAGCAAGGGAAGACAACCCTGTTCCTACCTCAGCCACGGCCGACCTGCGACGGTTGTAGCGGTCAGTACTTGTGGCGATCCGCTCCAACTTTTTGTCCTTGAACGCGAACAGCCCTAGCCGCCTCTGGGGCCTGTACATGGGGTGCACGACGGCCACGGCACTGACCTCCGTCCCCCTCCGTGCGGCCAGATACCCGTGACCCCCCACTATCCTGTACACATCCCCATTGTCATCCCCCAATGTCATCCCGACTACTTTGGTAATCGGTTATTGGTACATCGATTACAAAAGTATCGAAAATCACTTATTTTAAATCGATTACTAATGCATCAATAAATCCAGTATCGAAAACATCTTTACTATTGGTATCGATTACTAAGGTATCAATGACTAATGTATAGTATACTATCGAATCGATTCCTTTTGTATTGGAGACTAAGTAAATCACTTGGATACTTTTGAATCACATACTATTTGAATGCACATTGTATCCTCGTAAATTAAGCACAATTTAAATCCATTATAACTGAAGTGGATGTAATCGAATATTCCTTCCATCGATGCCACTAGAGATGGATGAGAATCTTCTCATTGTTAATGATAAACAATTAAAGTAATCGGATACGACATCACAACTGAATAGTGAGAAAGCATCCATCTGTAGAGCGAGGTTTAGCTAAGAAAAAAATGTACGGGCTGTGTAAACGATGCCTTGTACACGCGACAGAGCTTAATAATTATGTTAATTTATACACTTAAGTAGCGCACGATAGGCTAGAGGAGATATAAGCAAGAGGGGGGTCAATGCCCTAGATGCCATCGACTCATTCACAGACTAACAGACTCATGCTCTTAAGCTTAAAGATGCTTAGACTCAGAGATTCTTAGAGTCAAAGATTAAAAAACTCATAGACTTATTGAATCTAAAATTTAAAGATTCTTAGAAAGACATAGACTGTTAGTCACATAGGAAAATTTACACTTGGACAGATAGACTCAAAAACTCATAGACCCGTAGACTCACAGACACATAGACTCACAGAGTCATAGACTCTTGGACTCAAAGACTCATTGACTCCACTCCACTTCGTTCACTGTCTGCTGACATCCACCAATCAACTGATACGAAGATACCAATTAAATAACTTGACATGGAACACGCTAACCAATTAAATAACTTTACAAGGAACAAGCTATACGACAAAACAGTATGGCGAAACGCGGTATGAGATAGTAACTAGCAACACGACAGTGTTAAACCCTACTCTACTATATGTAGTTGTCAAACATGATATACGACAATGTTAAACCTATTATACGAAAGTGTCTAGCCTACTATACGACAATGTTAAACCTACTATACGAAAGTGTCTAGCCTACTATACGACAATGTTAAACCTACTATACGACAATGTCAAAGCTATTATACGAAATTATTAAACCTACTATACCAATGTGTCAAACCTACTATACGAAAGCTTTAAACCTACCTCACGAAAGTGTTAAACCTACTAAACGACGGTGTAAACCTACTATATCACAATACCTGGAGCCAGCATTGACTACATTACCTACGTCATCAGGACAGTACCAGACCCAGTCGGTTGCCATCGTGATTGAAAAGAAACTGATATCTCACATACAACTAATCAGATGTCAGTAGTGTTTTCATAGGGAGTGAAACAGTTACTGGACAATGATTTACAATAACCTTTTTAGACAATTGACAATTTGTTTTCATACTTTGTGAAACATTAGATGGACAGTAATTTACAGTAACATTTTTAGACAATTTTTTTCATACTTTGTGAAACATTAGATGGACAGTAATTTACAGTAACATTTTTAGACAATTTTTTTCAAACTTTGTGAAACATTAGATGGACAGTAATTTACAGTAACATTTTACGATGGAAACAGTAACTCTAATAGACTAGTACAAGGGATGTGGTTGAGGAAAGGGGTACGGTGAGATACTCGTGCCATTTACTTATTCTAAAAATCCCGACATTGCTTTACAAATAATGTTTTACATATTAATCCAACAC